CCCAGTCCCCTATGTTTGGGGGTGTGGAGGAGCACAAAAGGAAGGTAGCCTGCCTGCTCTCAAGTCTATTGATGGCTCTAAGTAGACAACTAACAGTCAGTGAAGCGCCTCTGCCAACATCTTCTGCCGAGTGAAGGCAAGGTCATGACAAACAGCTTGGTATTTTTCACTGCAATGGGCTGCTGTAGGGGCATATCTGGGGAGTGAGGTGGGGTGGGTGGAAGGGATAGGAAAATGAGGGAGTTGTACCTGCTTTTGATATACCTCTCTTTTCCCCTTGCCCAGGTCTCTGTAACTCAAACCCTCACTATCACTGTGGTCTTCTAGACACACTAACTCAATTTCCCCCAGGTTCAGAATCCCATCTTCAATACAATTGGCCAGCAGCTCTCTGGAATGGCATATCCTGCTACATGGGGCAGAGATTCTACTCTGACACAATTAAAGCTGCTCCTAACATACTATCACTTCCAAGTAGTGAGAGGCACAAAATGATTCCTTCTAGCATTTGGGCAAGTTGTAAAATCACCCAGAATTTCAGTCACTACAAGCTTCTACATTAGATTCAGGCCATCAATTCATCCCAATGAGATATCAATATGACATCTGGACCCTCACAAATTTATAGATAATAGCAACATATTTATATTGAAGGGGTATTGATGCTGTACAGAAAGTAACTAGTTACGCGTGGAGGTCCCACATCAATATGAATAGCCAGGCTTTCTGGTAAATCAAGGGCACTGTGATATTTGTGCCTCCCAGCAACCATCTCCCTTACAAAACTGAACGTGGAGTTGCATTTGCAACAGAGGTTGTCAACAGGATTACACCCGAGCCATCCTAACCAAAGGTTAATGTGCGCACATCAAGTGAGGAAAGCAGCTGATAAGATCTTTTTTCAAACAAAAAACAACAGTAGAATGTTCCTAGCCTTCAGCTAATCCTCACGTAAATATTTAAGAATTCTGTGACGAAAATACCTTCGGCAGGGGGCAGGGAGAAGAAATGCTTGTAAGATTCAACGTTAGCAACGAAGGATTCTTATTACACAGCAACAGCACAGAGGGGGAAAAAAAAATCAATACTGTTAGGTTACTTTACATAAAAGAGAATTAATCAAACTGTAATTGTTAGGTTGCATGTTAGCTGTTTGTAACAGTGACAAAGCGCCTCACTTGATTGCTAGAGTTGCTAGAGTTCATCTAACTTGTGTATTTTAAACAGTCATGCAAGTCGAATAATCACAATTGTAGTAGCCACTCATTGTTTTGGACTGTAAGAAACCAGCATTCTATGTGTGCACTCACACTACAGTTTATCTGCCTCTAACCGTCAGTGAGATCTTACAAAGTCAAGATAGGAAGTTAACAGTTAACGACAGGAAAGTGATAAGTGGTTGAATTTAAAGAGTACTTGTTAACAAGTTTATTTTTGTGAAAATGGATTTGGGAACAGCAGTACATAATTATCAGCAAAACAACGGTGCCAAAGATTCTGTGTAATTGCTGCAATGGACAGAAGTTACAGCACAATAAAAACCGTAAGAACTTCAGATGTTGTAGATCAGAAACAAAAACAAAAATTGCTGGAAAAGCTCAGCAGGTCCAGCAGCATCTGTGAAGAGAAATCAGAGTTAATGTTTCGGGTCCAGTGACCCTTTCTCAGAATTGGTGCTGAGGAAGGATCAGCGGACCCGAAATATTAACTTGGATTTCTCTAAACTGATTCTGCCAGGCCTGCAGAAATTTCAGCATCTCTGTCTTCTTAGTTGAAATAAGAAACTTACTCAAATTCATTTTGAGTTTGAACAGTTAATGATTGAAATACAACGCTCGGGGTAGAACAGCAGATATGACTTTTTTCTTCATAACCAATTAATTAATTTGCTGTAAAATTTAGCTACTGGGTCCACTTCCTTGAAATGCTAATGGGTTTATGTGGAGGGGCCACATTGCTCTAGTAATTAGCCATTGTGAGATGATTGTTGACAATTACATTTAATTTGTTCTGCAAACATAATGGTAAGAAACAAGATTTGAAAGACATTAAATCTACTTTTGACAGGAGCAGTAACACTGTATGTCAATAGGTGCCACTCATTATGTCATTGCAGTCACATTATCATTGTTTATAACTAGACATTGACAAATTAATAACAAATTTTTTTAGCTAATCAATTAATCTCAATATATGTACAACATTAAAAAGGCTTTTGATGATTTTATGAAGTACTGAGTTCAATCCTTTTTGAGAGATATTTTACCCATTTCTTGAACTGTTTCCCTCGTAGGTGGAATGTTACAATGCATTTTGCTAAACATTGTGCACAATGACTATCCTAGGAATCTTGCTGGTGGTTCTGAGATGGTGGGGTGCATCAGCCTAATTGTTGGCTGGTATTTCAGCATTGGTGTTTATGATAGCCTGTTGATTCAGACAACATAAAATTTAACCCCCTCTGGTGACTGAAAACCAACAAAATTAAGTTGAAGATTTTGACTAATGATCACAACAGAAATTAATGATGACTGTTAAAAATATGGATTGCTTCCCTTATTGTTTGGATGGTGTTTCAAACTGATTTTTCACAATACTTAAAGTCCTTTAGTCCAATTCATAAATTCTTAACTTAATTTCTTTCCCAGGTACAGTAAAGATTTCTTTTCATCTAATTCTATCTAAGGTATGAAATATTAAAACAAACAGGAGTCTGGTCATATAATCAAACATGACCTGACTAAATGGCAAATTAAGCTTAAGGGTCTAAATTGCCTACTCCTGATCCTACATTAACAATCTCATAAATTAGCAAACAAACAGTTAAGCATATGAAGCCTCTCAAAATGCATTGCTCTTGAACAAACTCTACTCAAATGAATCAAACAGGCATTTATAGAAATCGAAGGCACTGTCACCAGGCTACATCCAATTCCTCAGTACAGCAGTGTTCAAAAAAAGGAAAAAGGTTTTTTGTTCGCACAATGAATTAGCCTTCATCTTAAGTGAACAGAAAGTGGAAATGAGGAACATTTTTCCACTACATTAAATATTTACATCTTGAATCATTGTGACACTGAAGGGAAAAAGACCGACATGATTGATAGTGTGAGCCTGTCTCATTGGCATAAATCTATGTTGATGATTATTTGATAGGCTCCCTGATTAGCATCAGATTTTATGTCTGCCTTCTATATTTCATCCGATTAACCTTTCTGTCTGATTATTTTTGCCTAATTAAGGCCACATCTATCTAACGAGACTAAGTACATGCAAAGAAAAGGGACTCTACTGTGCAGTAGCATTATCGCAGGGTTCAGAGGCCAGGGCTCAAGTCCTACCTGCTCTAGAGATTTGGGTGTGCGTGTTATGAAATCTGAGTAGTTTGCTTAAAAAGCATCCATGCAAAGCCATCATCATTTGGCTAGAGACGGCAACAAGGATAACACCAGAGATCCCCAAGAAAGTGTGTAAGACAGCGCAGTAGAGAGGAACATGCACACTAAAGCAACTTAGTGTTTAACCGGAGGAATTAAAACCACATTTGTTCCCCTCACCCGACCACAAATTTAAATATAACTTGGTTGCTCTCTAAGGTTTTAGTGTTGCTTTCTGAAAGAACTGGTCCGTTCTCAGCTCCTGCATTTAAAAAAAACACAGGGTTGATCAATCATGGTGATTACTGCGATCAATTACCCATCCAAAACGCCCAGAAGTTCATTCTGATCACAAGGATAGTAGCGATAGTTTAATCTTTAGACTTTGCTGTTAATACAGGTATCAACAATAGCCCAGTGGAATCAATTGTTACGAAGTAGTTATTTCCCTCGCATGTATCTTTTCAGAAATTGGTGGTAAACTAAACAAATGCAAGAACAGGCAAATAGGAAGAGAGAGGACAGCGCGTGTTGTTCCCCCTTAATGAAGGCATATCATGCATTTGGTTTAACTCTATTCTCCATTATGCTTCCAAAGTGCCTTGGACTCATCATCCTTAGAGCATATTTACTTTTCAGAACTTACAGCTATCTTTAAAATATTACATCCAGAAACTCTGTTTCTGGAGCCACGATAGGAAGTTAAGATGAGACCTCCTGACCACAAAAATAACAAAAGCGACACCTTCAGTTTCATTCCTAATGCAGTCAGTATCTTAACGGGTGCCTGATCTAAGCGAAAGCAATTATTTGGGACAGGGAAGTAGCTGCAGCGTCGCGGTGATGGAGTTGATGATCGACGATGCATTAGTATCGATTTGTTTAGATCTTCTGCGCGAAGACAATGTAACTTTAATAAATCGCCGTGTAGTGGTTAGGGAGGGGGTTATCACTGGAAGGCTGTACGTCTACAGCACACAGCTTTTACAGCTACATACTCCACAACTGAGTTAGCAGAACCAATTCATCAAAAAAAAACCCTACCTCCAATTTAAAAAAAAATCAGCTAATTGATTGTGTGGAGCTATACGCCAGTACCCATTTATTTACTAATGATTTACTAATTAATTTCAACTGTAATGCATTAAACGGGACTGTGTTAGAATCGCGACAGTTTGACAACAGCATTAAAAACGTGAAGGTTTTAAGTTGAGGAACTTAAAGCCACTTGCACCTGCCAATTTATTTGACCGAGGCGGTTTTGAACGATAATGTCATTCGTGTGCTGGGAATATTGTCAGATAATGTTCAGTACACACAGTCAGGAATAACGTGCTTTTTTTAAAAAAAAAAGAAGAAAACGAACATCTGCAGGGATCTTAAAGAACAGATAAGTTTGTGATTAATACGAAAGCACTTAGGCATTAAAATATTGGAGTCCGACCAGCTCAAGCCAACTGTTACAAATCATTGATATAACTTTAATATTGTATCATGAATTACACCAACATCTAGCTCTGAGCTTTGCCCCGAGACTCAGCATGATTGAGTGCAACGAGGAATTCAGTGTAGTCGCTCATTAACGGTTTACAGTAATAAAGGGAGAAATGATATCTCACCCACCTCCTACTGAGAGCAACGGCAGGGAAGAGGAGCAAAAAGTAACCGGCACAGAAAAGCTTCATTGCTGCTTTCCCCTCTGCATGCACACGCTTCTGAATAGCGGAAAGCTTCCGGCTCTAACCAGCCGAAATCTGCAGAGACAGACTGATAGTGGAGTGCGATTTGTTCGCTGTGTTTTGATATATGATGTCATGAGCAACCGGGCTGTACTGCAAGCACTCAGCCTGTGATAATACAATGCAGCGTCTCTCTTGATGTCCTCAGGGGTTTGTTGTTACAGCAGTTTAAATCGCGGCTGTTGGGTAGTACGTGGGGAGTGGGTGCTTTCAGAGCACCCCGTGCCTGTAATGACAATCATCGCCATTCAGATCACTAGCACAGTCCCACTCTCCGACAAACTGAGAAGCATTCTGCTTAACGAGCATCTAGAAATAATTGTTAATTAATCAAAGCATGTCTGAACTAATGAGCCCGCGTTGCCTTGGTATTTGCCAGGCAAACTTGAAATAAGCTGTGTCTTCCAGTTATCAATTAACAGTATGTTTCCCCTCTTAATCCCAAATAAACGCAGCAAATCGTTTTCACAAGCAGACTGGCCTGTTCCTCTCATTGAACTTTGACTGCAAAACCATTACTTTATAGCGAAAAATATCCCCAACATCTAGTGGATTCAGATCTTCCTGCTGTGTGTCACTTAAATATGAATCTTCAGATAAAGATATACTTTTGAAGTCACTTGTGGGTATATGAGAAATGCTACTAGAATATTAATATTAGATCTAGATTTAATTATATGTACTATAGTTTTAAAGATCTGCCACTGAACAAACTATGGCTTATAGTCTTAATTTTGTACTTAATGAATTTGAAAATACCTGCTGCAGAAAGTTAACAGTGACAGCCAAGGTTCAGAAAATAATAATTAATAACTATTAGAAACGAATACACAGTCTCATTATCATTTTTAACTTAGCTACTGGTCCTTGTGTCCCGGATGATGGATGACCAGTTTCTGAAGTTATAGTGTCACAGAGTCATGCAGCACATAAACAGACCCTTTGGTCCAACTCGTCCATGCTGACCAGATATCTTAAATTAATCTAGTCCCATTTGCCAGCATTTGGCCCATATCCCTCTAAACCCTTCCTATTCATGTCCCCATCCAGATGCCTTTTAAATGTTGTAATTGAACCAGCCTCCAGTACTTCCCCTGGTGGCTTATTCCATACATGCACCATTCTCTGTGTGAGAAAGTTGCCCCCTTTCTAAATCTTTCCCACTCACCTTAAACCTGTTACCTCTACTTTTGGACTCTGCTACCCTGGGAAAAAGACTTTGACTGTTCACTCTATTTATTCTTCTATAAGGTTACCCTCTTAACCTCCGAGGCTCCAGAAAAAATAGCCCCAGCCTATTCAGCCTCTCCCTGTAGCTCAAACCCTCCAGCTCCAGCAACATCCTTGTAAATATTTTCTACACCCTTTCAAGTTTAACAACATCTTTCCTGTATCAGGGAGACTAGAACTGAACACAGTATTCCAATAGTGACCTCACCAATATCATGTACAGCTGCAATATGACCTCCCAACTCTTGTACTCAATAAAAGCAAGCATACCAAAAGCCTTCTTCACTACCCTTTCAACCTGCAATTCCACCTTCAAGGAACAAGAAATATACAAAATTCACAGACAATCTTTATAAAGCAATTTGACCAAAGCTGCAACATAATTTGTCCATGCTTAAAGATGTGTCAGATAACCCTGCTGAATTATTCAACAAAATTGCATTAATTTGATGTGACATTGGATGTATGCATGTAAAATGTGACATTGACAAATAATTTCTATTAAAAAGTACTACGCCCCTATCTTTTGTCAGTTGTGAACCATATTGCCTGATTTATTGGCTTGTGTTTTATTGAACGCTGTACCCAGTTAAAGTGCCATCTATTTGTAAGTGTCTGTTTCATTAATGCCTTCTTAATTTCGAACATTAGTTTGGCACCTGATTCATCAAAATAAAAATATTTTATAATAACTTAAATGTTTTATAATGGAGAGGATGACATTTGCACTGTAAACTATTCAATACACATGCTCTGATTAAAAAAAAAAGACTGGAAATGATGGCAAGTGGATCTGATATTTTCTGTTTGGGTGTAGTTCTGGACTTGGGCAATCTCCAATTTCAGATGTTCTAGTGGCTGAGGCATCAGTTATCTAGGTCTTAAACTTTGATATTCTCTTCATTTAAAATATTCCTTAAAGCACACATCTTAGACCAAACTTTTGGTCATCTTTCATAATACCACCTTATTTGGCTCAGTACCTGCCTCATACATTTGTCATGGCAACACCTTAGCCAATCAGAGTGGAATCACCTGGTTTGAATTTAAATGTAAGTTGGTAGTTAACTATTCCTAGCTAGCTTCTCCATGGTAATGCTTGTATAAATCATAATTCATTTAACAACCATTCAGCACCTGCTTCTCCTGTACAGTAATAACATTGAAACATAGAAAGTAGGAGCAGGAGTAAGCCATTCAGCCCTTGGAGCCTGCTCTGCCATTCAATGTGATCATGGCTGATCGTCCAACTCTGTACCCTGTTCCTGCTTTCTCCCCGTACCCTTTAATCCCAAAAAATATATCCAACTTCTTCTTGAAAATATTCAATGTTTTCGCCTCAACTGCTTTCTGTGGCAGAGAAGTCCAAAAGCTTACCACTCTCTGGATGGAAAACACATCTCCCCATCTCATTCCTAAATGGTTCACTCTGTACCCTTACACTGTTACCTCTGGTTCTGTACTTCCCAGTCATTAGGGACAGCCTTTCAGCTTTTACCCTATCTAGTTCTGTTAGAATTCTGTAGGTATTTATGTGATCCCACTGAATCTTCTAAACTTAAGTGAACATACTACACTACACTGTCCTAACTGATCCCCTCTCTCTTTGTATTATCAATCATCCCAGGAAAGGTCTGGTAAACCTTTGTTCCACTTCCTGTCTGGCCAGAATATTCTTCCTCAGACAAGGAGACTAAAACTGCTCACAATGCTCCAAGTGTGGTCTCATGAAGGCCCTGCACAACTGCAGCAAGACATCCCTGCTCCTGTACTCAAATCCTCTCACTATGAAGGCTCCACCATCCCATTTAGTTTCTTCACTGCTCACTGTATCTGCAGGCTTACTTTCAGCGACTTGTGTACAAGGACACTCACATCTTGCTGTACCTTTCCCTTTCACAATATATTGCCATTTATATAATAATCTGCCTCCCTGTTTTTGCTACCAAACTAGATAACCTCATATTTATCCACATTACACTTCTTCTGCCATGCGTTTGCCAACTCACTCAACTTGTCCAAATCACACTGAAACATTTCTGTACCCTCCTCATAATTCACACTTCCATCCAGCTTTGTGTCACCTGGAAACTTAGAGATATTATGTTCAGATTATTGATGTATATTGTGAAGAGCTAGGATCCAAACACTGATTCCTGTGGTAACTGATTAGTCACTGGTTGCCATTCGGAAAAAGACACATTTATTCTTACCATTTGTTTCCTGTCTGCTAACCAGTTCTCTATCAAAGTCAGTACACTACTTTGCGCTTTAATTTTACATGCTAATTTTTTACATAAGCCCTTATCGAAAGCCTACTGAAAGTTCAAATAAACCGCATCCACTGGCTCCCCCTTATCAACTCTACTAGTTACATCCTCAAAATATTCCAGTAGGTTTGTCAAACATGATTTCACTTTCGTAAATTCAGGCTGTCTGATCCTGTCTATAATTTATAGTTCCCCTTGAGATTTGGCATTCTTGCAATTCTGTCCTGATGAGAGCAGGGTGAAAAATTTTAACAAGTCTCTTTTTTCAGAAATCTTAAATTTTGATTCATAACACTCCTGCAAAGCACCTTAGGATGTTTTATCATGTTAAAGGATGTTATATGAATCCATGTAGTTTTTGTTAATTGATGACATTAATGTACTTTTTTTCTGGCATAGCAAGCAATTAATCAATTGACCTACAATCCATTATACTTGAGAAGATTTGCAATATAAAATCCCTCTCTGATTGCCATAGCAACTACTATATACTGGGAATTAACCAATGTTCCTAGTGTCCTCCGTTGCTATGGGGTTAATGATGCGAAGTAGATCATGGATATCTTCCCATCATTAGCATGTCATTTGCATATGTTCATGCATATCAGTAGAATATTTTCAATATGTAATATCCTAATCATTTCTAGTTGGACCATCCTGAGGTGGATCGTGGGCTGTGGGCAATAGCAGACTAGTTCCCCACCTTTTCTTCCTTCCCTGCCTTTTTTCTTTATCTCATTTCCCTAGCAAATGAAGAACATGTAGGTTTGGCTCTCTGGCCAAAACATTAGCCTACTGTTTTTATTTACAGACTACAATATTCATTTTACACTTCTTGAAATTTTCAGTTTTTTCATTATTTGTGATATTTATTTTCATTTAAAAATTTACAGTCTGTTGGCCTTTTTAAAAATTTCTAGCTCATTAAACAGGGAACAATCTGGAGACATTACCATTCTCTGAGGTTCCAAGTATTATTTCCAGTACAAAAAAAAACAGTAGTCTTTTTTTGGTATAGTCAGTAAGGAATTATAAACCAAATGTAGCTCACTGAATATTTTGCATGCCGTTCCTCTGCATGTTATTGTAATAGAAATAATCTATGCTTTACCTTAGTTAGCGCCTACATTGAATAGCAATGTCATATGATGTAAATACACTACCCTTTGCTGAAGATCTGAAGAAGGGTCACTTGGAGTATTGTGTTCAGTTTTGGTCACCTTGCTATAGGAAGGATGATATTAAACTGGAAACAGTACAGAAGAAATTTACAAGGATGTTGCCAAGACTCAAGGGACTGAGTTATAGGGAGAGGTTGGGCAAGCGAGGACATTTTTCTTTAGAGCCTAGGAGACTGAGGGAGGATCTTATAGAAGTGTATAAGATCATGAGAAGCATGGATAGGTTGAATGTACTCTGTCTTTTTCCCAGGGTTGGGGAATGGAGGACTAGAGGGCATCATTGAAGGTAAGAGGGGAAAGAATACATAGGAACCTGGGGGGCAAATTTTTTCACAGAGAGTGGTACGCATATGGAATAAGCTGCTGGGGAAGTGGTTGAGGCAGGTGCATTAACAACATTTAAAAGGCATTTGGATGAATACATGGATAGGAAAGGTTTAGAAGGATGTGGGCTAAGTGCAGGGAAATGGGGTTAGCGTGGATGGATATTTTGGTCGACATGGACAGTTTGGGCCAAAGGGCTGTCTCCATACTGTAGGACTCTATAACTGTAAGACTCTATGAGATACTGCCAGACCTGCTGAGCTTTTCTACCATTTTGTGTTTTTGTTTCTGATTTACAACATGTGCAGTTCTTTCGATTTTTAACCTTGTTTTTCTTTCTTACTGTTCCTTGATGTTAATCAATCTGTTTTATATTTCAAATACTTTCTCTTTTATAACTTTAAGACTGCTTTGAATACTCATCTACTATTATCAGTAATTTTGAGCCTCATATATTTAGCTCTTTAAAA